CGATCCCGGGACTCCAGGATCACGACCTGAGCCGAAGGCAGTCGCCCAACCGACTGAGCCACCCAGGCGCCTGGTGGTTGATCTTTTCTTACCCAAGGATTAATTTGTATCATTTCTGAGTCTGAGCATATGGCTGTCACATAACTAATTCCCTAAACAGATTTTATTCTGCTCATGTTCCTTCTAAAGTATAACCATGTCCATTGTCGGAGGAGTTGAGGTTTTTTTGTTTTGTTTTGTTTTTCCCCAAAGCCTTGATTGGTCTTTATCCATGAGCCTTGGGTCTCTCCTGCATGACTGGAACACTAATCAGAGAAGAAACAACACATGTGAGAAGATGGGGTGATAGGGGGGCAGATAAAAATAGGCAGCGCAGTTTCACAAAAGCATAGTTTTGCTTCACAAGTCTGACAGTATTTTGAGAGAGGAACAAAGGCTTGCCGGAGAGAGGCTGTGATTGAGTGGAACCTCATGAACATCTTTGAAATCCAGACCCTTCCAAAAAAGTATAGGGGGTAGTTCTGGTGAGTATAGATGAAAGTCCCTTGTGAAAGTGGCTTAGAAATTATTCTCGAGTCCCTAGAGCAGGCCTAATAATGAAAGAAGCAAGCTCAAAGTGGAGAAAGAAGCCTACTTAAGGACTAGCATTAGCTGGTTGAGTTCACCAAGCCAGCATTGTCCAGTGGCTTTCGGGTTCCTGAAATATGAATTTCAGTGCCACGGCTCTTAAGGCAACATCTTATGTGTGTGTGCTTAATGTTCATTTTTCTGGGGAGAGAACTCGTAGCTTCTCCTCAGATTTTCAAAGGGATCTGTTACTCTCTCTACCTCTCCAAATTAAGATCTATGAAAAAAATCATTACTGTACATTGCAATTCTAGATCCTACTGGTCTGAATTACATAGAAAAGGTATTCACCAAGACTTGAGGATTGGCTACTTCCACTACAAAAACGTGGAGCAACCCCTAAGCTATTTCTAACAATCATGTATTGAATTTATAATCATTGTAAAGAGTTAAAAGAAAAAAAAAAAAAGACACTTCCCAAAGGATGACTTCCATTTTGTCAGAGCCAAAGGAGTATCAGATCTCATTCATGGTTGCCGGAGCCTTCCCCCCACCCCTAACCCAAGTGCTTGTTCAAGACTTCCATTTTGACTTAGTATAAGGAAAAATTACTTCTGTTTAGGGTGAGGATCCTAGAAGAGGAGAGAAAATGTTTGTAGAAGGAAATAAACATGTGGCATTGGGCAGGTCACTGAGTGAAAGTATGTAACTCTTTTATTAAAATTTTAGCTGCTGGGGCGCCTGGGTGGCTCAGTCGTTAAGCGTCTGCCTTCGGCTCGGGTCATGATCCCAGGGGTCCTGGGATCCAGCCCTGCCTTGGGCTCCCTGCTCTGCGGGGAAGCCTGCTTCTCCCTCTCCCACTCCCCCTGCTTGTGTTCCCTCTCTCGCTGAAGGAGGGTAGGAAAGAGAAGGAAAGAAATGGGCTCACAAGAGGGCAAAGAAAGGAAATCTTGTGCCACTGAAGTGTAATGAGGAGGGGATTCATGCCCCCAGCATACTTCCCAGTGCTCATCGTGTCACTTAGAGATATAAACAGAGAGAGAGCCTCCAACAGCCTGGTGTCAAAGATACTATGATGTATGTTTCTTAACAGCAGAAATATCATACTAGTTACAGTGTTCTCTTAAATCAGGGAATTAGCCCTGTGTTGCTTGCTTAGAAGCTTTTATCTGAGAAACCTTCTTTCCGAAAAGTAAATTATGACCTTTCAAATCTATATACTAAGGGGTGATTATTTATTAGTTTCTTTGCAAAATAATGGATGTAAGTTTCCTTGAAGAGTTTCGTTGATACACATAAGTAGTTGTTTGCTGGAAACCGAGAGGTCTGAACCTAAACTGTTAGAAGTCACTCTCTGGTCATTGAAAATCAATCCATAATGAAGATGAACCATCTCTGAAAGTATAATCTGTCATTGGGCAATGCAACTGAATTTACTAAAAAACTGATTCCTATATAGATTTGGGGTAATATACTTTGCAGAAGCAAGACATAATGCATTTTACCTGAAAACCTAAACAGAAATATATTCACTTGATTAGGCTTTCCATGAATTACTAAGGAATATTGGAAATATTTACATCATTTCCATAAGTATGCATGATACGTGGGGAGAACTCAGGATTCAGAACAACATATTTTCCTTCCTCAGTAGGGACCCAATTATCACCATCTTTTAGAGAACCACCTTACTAGAAACGTTCACTCTTATGTAGTCTAATTGGGAGATTTTTTTCTTTTAGATGCAATTTCCTGAAACTTTGTTTCATAACTCTTCCATTTTAACAACAACAACAACAAAAAGGATCATGTATCTGGAATGAGCCGAAATTCTAGAAAACTGTATTTTCTCCTTACCAATTCCAAACTGATGGTGTTTGACCCCAAGTAATAGATTTTAAATAAGGTTCTTTTTTTCATTCTTACACAAGTACAGCATATTTGATGTAGAAAATACAAAGAAAGGGAAGAAAATGAAAATTATCTATAATTCCATCTCCTGGAAACAGTCACTGTTAACATTTTAAAATGTATCCTTTTAGTCTTTTTAAAATGTATTTAATGCTTTTCCAACAGAGATGATTTCATAGAATGTGTACAGTTGTTTTACCTCCTATTTTTAACAATATGCCAAGGACATTTCTCTATAGTGTTAAATACTCTTCTACATCATTTTTTAATAGGTTTCGTAGTACGGTCTGTCCCCTGGGTTCTTTCCCATTTTTCACTATTACGAACAAGGCAGTAATGACTATCTTTGTTGTTAAATCCTTCTTCACAACTACAAAATTGAGACATCTTTGAAAGCACACAGTCACACCGTTTAAGCCCTTCTCTTACCACTGAGCTAATTAAAGATAAAGAACAATTCCTGTCGGGATTCACTAGAACAAAGAAACTAAAATGCCTTTGTTTTCATTTTCCAAATTACTGTCTTGCGGGGGGTGGGGGGTAATGGAGGGGGAGAAAGTGTCTAATGAACATACGTATAGAGAAATTTCTCTAAATCTTAAACTTCTGGCTTAAAAATGACCTCAGTATTCATTCCAGGTGTATTTGTGTTTAGGAAATTTTGATAACCAGCCTTTGGAATTAAAGTGATTGCACTGAATGAATATGCTCTTATTGTTAACTAAGATACATTTGTTCTCATTACAAAGCAGCATGTGTTTGTTGCTTTCCAATTCCCTCGATGAAAAGCATGCTCTTTGCTTGGCTAGACTGCTGCTTAGCATCCTTGATACTTACATTGCTTATGGACAACATTTGTGATCTAAGGTTTTGGGGTGTGGGGGCGGGGCAATCATCAGCTAAATAAAATAGCCCAGGTCTGGATTTAGAGCCGCCCTCCCTCTTGGCCCCAGACCGCACTGAACTGAATCATAAAGTTCTGGCACGTGTGCCCTGTGGAAATGAAGAGAATCTCACATGACATACATGGATTGATATAAAAAGACCACCAAACCACATGATGCAGGAAATATTAAGGAAAAATTTCCAGCGTGAATACCCGCTCTGAATCCCCACCAAGCTAATTCGTGATCAGGGTGGTCGAATAACCAATTATTCAAGCATACATTCCTTGTAGAGAGGCATGAAGTTCAATTCCGCCATGACCGCACCAGAGGGATGCCAGTCTGGGAAAATTGCTGATAGAATGTTGTCAAGTAACCAAAGAGCGGGTAGGGAATGGAGGATAAAACAGCAGATGTAGTTCAAGTGAGTGTAATTGTTATTTGTATGCATTTCATATACTGAAGACGGATGGGTTCTTTGCTTAACGCAGTTTTTCATCAGTTGGATTTAGACAGGGTTTCTCAACCTTGGCACCATTGACAATTTGGACCCGATACTTCCCTGTTAAGAATGGGCAGTGGTAGGTTAGTCCAAGGCCTCACAGGTCCCTACTGTCACAAAATTGTCCCCCGTTGGGAACCACTGGATGAAGAGATCATTATCCTGAAATGCTGAAAAACTACAGACTCAGGCCCAAAATCATAATGTCATGTGCCATTTTATTTATAGATCAGTGTGGGTGAAAGTAGCGCCAGCCATCTCCAAGCTGTTAGACTAGACTTGAAGTTCGATATAGACCCGCACTCTCTGACACTATGAATCCTGTGCAGAAATACAGCTCCATGTGAGCATTGCAACCAAATATCCCTGGTCCCGGTAAACATCACGTGTCTGCCTTCTGTCATGTCTCCTGTACTAGCAATGAAAGTGCCCTTTCTCTTGTCGGATGCATTGGTTTAAGGAAATCTCCAAATCTATTTTGAAAGGTATCTGACAGGTAAGTATTAAAGCAAACAAACCTGACCCTGTCCCCATCGGGATCTTCTAAGAATGCTTTAGGAGATCTCAGGCTATGGCACTGCCCACGTGCTAATACTCTCTACCCATCTAGCTCACTTTACAAGATTCACCCCTAAATAATTTCCACTCTTCTCTGTTCTAAGACTGTTTCGACTTAACTTCCTTGCACTCACTCCCCCTTTGGCTGGTTTAGCTAACTTTATGACTTACTCTTCATAAAGTTAGTAAATTTCCTGCTTTTTTAAACCTCTCTTTGGCTTCTGCTACCGTCTTTCCCTAAAGTCTCCCCATTGAAAGTTTGCATTTAATAACAGTAGTTGCCAACGTCTTGACCTTTTTGCAGATATGACAATGGATGATGTTCGGGAATACGAGAAAAACATGCATGAACAAACCAACATAAAAGTTTGCAATCAGCATTCCTCCACTGTGGATGACATAGAGAGCCATGCCCAAACAAGTGTATGTAGAATTTTTAAAACATGTTGCCCACCCTTTACCAAACGTACACTTAAACTGATCTTTGAAAATACTGCAGACGTTCAGTTCTCAACATTCCACACAAAAACATGTCGTCACCCAGAGGCTGTTGGTGAAGAACCTGAGCTGGGTCTAAACTGGACAGTGTCACCTCTTGCTTCTAGATTTTTCGATTCTTAAAAAATCCGCTTGATTTGAGGGTTATTTTTCCGCTCATAAAACCCAAGAACGTGGAGAGTGGAAACATTTGTGGCTGGTGAATGGCCTGCACCGTGAAAGAGAGGAGACAAAGCAGGTGTCATCTGAAAACTAGAATATCGTGACAGTAACTTTTAAAAATATAGTTAATGCTCAAGTTATTCATTCAAGGGACAGCTTGTGGCTCATCTGGTGTTTTAGATTTCTTTACATTTGCTTTGAAATGCTTTCTGTGGCTCCTTATAGCTGTTCTGGCCAATCCTTTCCTTTTTGCTTCGGCTAATCTCAAGACGGGGCTGCAGTCTGTGCACACGCTGGCTGAGCAGTGAAGGTTCGGTGAGCTGGGAATGTGCGGGGCCACGTAGCCCATCCAGCCTGGGACTCAAGATGAGACTCAGAGAGCCACGGGTTATTTAGTGGCACACTGGAAATGGAGAGCTGACTGTATGGTACATGCCAGCATTTTAAATATAGTTCTCTCTCAATCATTCATGCTAATGAAGAGGAGCTAAGATAACAGAGAAAATGTAATCAAGTCATTTGTATGTATCTTTGGCCAGCACTGTGATCTCTTTGGGTATCAGCTTGAGCCCGTGTGTCTGCTAGCCCACACCCTAGAACAGTACCTATTAGATTTTTAGGAAGTTGATAATGTAGGTAAAGACAATTGAGCAACGGCTATGGTTGTAAATGGGTGCTTTAGAATTGTGACGATCTTTTTGGTTGCACTTTGGAAGTTTTGGGTTCAGTTTTTAGAGCACGTATTTGGAGGGTGCGCTGCAAGGCTCAAGTGCATGTGGCTTACCCTTGAGGCTCAGGTGGCCCTGACGTTTCCTCCCTGTGTTGCATGCGGTGATTGGATTTGCGGAAGGCTATGGGGTCAACTTACCTGGGCTGTTCCTCTCTGTGCACAGGCTCTTGCCAATAGGACCTCCCTTCTCCCTCTGTCCCTGTTCTAACGTTAGAAATACTCGTTAAGGAAACTGTCCTTGGAAGTCCATCATTTTAAATTCCCTTTTCTTTTTGGAATGACTCTAGTTCTCCATCAGCCGCCCTCTGAAAGCTGCTTGCTTAGAATAAGTGTGATCAGACAAAGGAAGCCAGAGGAAAGGGGGAGATGCCACATTCCAAAGGATGCTAAGCGCCTGGCTTTTCTCATTCTAAGCTCTTACGGTTTTTAGCTTCAGGCTCTTTGTTTGGTCTTTCTGTCGTACTGCCTTTATTACCATTAGAAAGTCAGTTTACTATGGAGACAGTGGTACCTAGAATGGTTCTCCCATGGGAAAGCCCCATGCATTCTCTGGCTGCAATGCACTGTCCTTCCCATGACTTCAGTGTAAGAGATGCCTATCTCCTCAGAAGTTACACAGAGTGGTTATTTTGAGTGCTTACGACATTTCCCTTATTCTTTGGAATTCCATCAAATTGGAGATCATTTATTTTTCCATTGTCTTTCTTCGCTATCGTCATGAAATAACAGTTGAAATCAAGAGGTTGCTGTCCATCACAAATAACAAACTGCATGGGTGCTCAATAAAATTTAAATCCTCAGCCTGAGTAGGGACACATTGGATTGAAATTATGCAAAATTAACATCCATGAACACGGCAATGAGAAAGTTAAGTCTCCTTTTCCATTGAGCAGTTTCCATGCCTTCAAGGAAGGGAACTTCTAAGAGACTCGGGGAATGTAAAATCGAAATTCTGTATTTTGGATGTTTTCTGCCCCCTGCTGGATATGTGGAGTAGAGCATTATACTCTACCACTTGTGTAGAAAGTCTAATTTTTCAAAGATGTTTGTTTATTATAGCAGAAACATACCCCATTCACTGAAATTTTTCTGAGAGTCTCAATTTTACTTTGAAGTGCATATTTCTTTTTTAAAAACTTAATCTCATTTCTTAGCTTGTTTAATAGTCTTAGTATTTTTTAACGTGGCAAATTTATAGGTACAATTTTTCTTGTTATATTCTAAGTTGTATATGATATCAAAACAATCATATTTTATTTCCTTTGTAAGAAAAAATTTTCCTTTCATAATATTTTAACAATTGCTCCAGGAAATCCTCTTAAGGATTTTGGTTTTTTGAAAAATATTTCTGACAGATGAACATAGGGGAAGGGAAGGAAAAATAAAATAAGATAAAAACTGAGAAGGAGGCAAACCATAAGAGACTCTTAACTATAGGGAACAAACCAAGGGTCGCTGGAGGGAAGATGGGGGTGGAGGGCTGGGGGAGATGGGGTCATTGGGTGATGGGCATTAAGGAGGGCACTTGATGTAATGAACACTGGGTGTTATATGCAACTGATGAATCACTAAATTCTACCCGTGAAACTAATAACACATTATATGTTAACTAAATTGAATTTAAATAAAAAATTTTTTAAAAAAGAGAAATATTTCTGGCTTGCTCATGTTATAATATGACCTTATATATACTACATATACATATAATATATATCTTAATGATTAATACCATGTTATGAATATTCATTCCATAGTTAATATTTCCAAAGTGGATATATTGTTTCATGTTAGCTTATGCAATATCATCTAATGAAGCTTCCACCACTAGGTTCATGGGAGAGGACAAGAATGAAAAATGGGTCTGTGGGAAGCTAAAATTCATGTAGAAAATCCATGGGCAGCAGATTTCCCCTTTTACTCAAGGACAAGCCCTTAGGCTTTCACTCAGTGCTTTTTCCAATAAGCCCAGTTACCTGTTTTCTCTGTTACCAGCAAGTAAAAAAGACAAAGGATACCAGGGCTAGCCAGAGAGTAATTAATAAGAACCATAACAATAGTAATGACAGTATAGTAATAGAGTTTCTGAGAAAGAGAGATCTCAAACTACAGAAAACCAAATAAGCCCTGATAGAGAAGTCATTACAGTGTTAATATATTTTCAATATATTATGTCTAAATGGTAGCAAGTGTATATAATACGTTCAATATATTGGTGGGGGCCTCGCTGGTTCAGTCGGAAGAGTGTGAGACTCTTGATCTCCGGGTCATGAATTCAAGCCCCACATTGGGTGTAGACATTACTTAAAAATAAAATCTTTTTTAAAAATAAATTAAGAAGTTAGGGAGAGATTTACATTTAAAATATATATATATATATTTTTTTTTTACTTTCTCACGTAATAAAAACATTTTAGGTATTTAGAAAATCTACATCACCTGACAATTCCTCTTAATGAGGCATCCCTGAATTTGTTTCCTGAATGCCAAATAATGCTTTTTTTTTATGTTTCCTTGAAAAAATGGTTTTATTTTTCTTGGCTTTGGGATAATTAGCAGGGTTTGTGGTTGTTGTCATTATCTTCTTTGTTTTTTTTTTTTTTTAAAGATTTTATTTATTTATTTGACAGAGAGAGACACAGTGAGAGAGGGAACACAAGCAAGGGGGAGTGGGAGAGGGAGAAG